AAATAGGAAATTGTACGAAACTTTTGTGTGTCTGAGATTGTAATTCAACGACACTTTTGTATGCCTGAAATAATAATGCAACGGCAGATTTGTGTGTCTGATATTGTAATTCAACGACACTTTTGTATATCTAACTATACCTAACTATACCTAACACTAAAATAAAAGATAATTAATTAAAAAATAATTTAATAATAAAAAACACTATAAAAATAAAAACTAAAAAAGAATTAAATTATAAAAAAACACTGTAAAAAATGAAAACTTAAAATAATAAAAACACAATTAAAACAATTTTTAGCAATTAAATGTTTATAATTAGCACTTTGCAGAATAACCGCGGAAAACAAAAGTAAAAGCGCTTGGAATAAATCGAATAATTAATATTTCTAACAATTAAATGTTTAGAATTAGTACTTGGTAGAAACCGCAGAAACACCAAAGTGAGTGTGCAAGGAAAAAGCAGCGGAAAACCGAATTGAATGCGCGAGGAAAAATCCGAAGAAAACCGAATAGAAAATGTGTAGAAAACCCGGATCACTTGCGCCTGAAAAATACATAAATTTTACTTTTAAAATAAAGTATAATAGTATAATAATGTATTCAATAATATTTTACACTTTTAGAAATCATCATTAAACTCGTGACAATGACACACTGGCACACATGGATAATAAATTAAGATATTTTAAGAGAACAAAAATATTAAAGACATAATAATTTTAAATTGAAAAAATAAGTATTACTTGTTAAAAAATTATGTTATTATGAAAACGAACGCTAATTTTAAAATAAATCTTTATAGAAAAGTTATTAATTCTATGATGCCTGTAGCCTGTGCTGACGATTGTCACTTTCAAAATATTGAATACTTAAACAATAAATATTACACATGTATCATTTCAATAATTAAATTAAATTAAGTCTAAAAAGGATACAACAATACTGAGCTAAATAATAAATGCAATAATCCAATCCTGTGTACAACAGTAAATGTAGACTGCATGCCACCTGAAAATTTATGGGAAAATAAATATAATGGGAAGTACAAGAGAAAGTTTAATTTACTTATCATGTCATGAAATCTTGTCATCAGACTTATTTTGCAACAGCTTGCGAGCTGAAATACTAAAAACATGAACTCTCCTTCAATGATAGAACTGTGACTGGATATTATGTTTACAAATAATAAACAACATAGAAATGTTTTTTCATTACTTATGGTATTTAATAGTAATTCAACTAAAGATATTTTTTTTTTTACCCATTTATGAATGAAATATTTCAAATATAAACCATTATAATATGTATGAATATAACTTAAGTATGTTTTAAGTTAATACTGAGGCCACTTAAGATCCAGAATCTGAATAATCAATTACATTAACTATTTGAATAATATATACATTTTAAAATGAATATCTTATAATTTGTTGGTATTGTCAAGAGAATATCAAATATATTTAATAATTAATATTGAAAACTTCAATACTTAGAACTTTAATACGATATTACCTTACACATAGAAACAGTTTCAGTTATTTTAAAACCTGTTAAAAACTATTTCTCATCATGAAAATGATTTATTTACCTATATTTTTACAGTTATACAAACAAGTAACAACTTTGATATAAGTCATAATTTGATATATATTATTATTTATTAAATATTTTACTTACAAAAATAAATAAATATATAAACTCCAAATCCATCTTTTTAATGTACCTAGAATATTTATAATAGGTACATGGGCAGATAACCTGTAAAACATTGGGTAGCAAACACATCCCTACATCCCCATCAAACCAACAATGAAATAAACACAATTGAAATATTATTTTATTTTATTTGATATTGTATACTGTGAAATTGGATACTAGTCGGTATTAGCTCTGTACTGTATAAATGAATAATAAAAAATAAAATTTTTATAGGTGTTGAATAATAATAAAAAAAATGTAAATACATAATTATGTAATCTGTACTAAACTACAATAATTGGTTATTTTCTCATTTTAAGGGAGTCATAGGCGTGCGCAGACTTAAATTTCTGGTCGAGCCTAGACAATTATAGTGCCCTAATATTTGGACTGCGCCCCTAATTTTTTTTTTAACACACCAACATACATGTTGATAATATATTAACCTATTGATGTCTATAGTACTATAGTTATTGTATTTGTACCTATAAAGGTATAATGTTTTTTTTTAGATTAATTAAATGTATGTAATGGTTAGGTTAGGTATAATATAAGCATTATAATAAAATATTTAAATATATACGAACATTTTACTATGCCCCTAAAAAGTTTCAGGTCGAGCCTGGGCTTGACCGGCTCGCCCCGTGCGCACGCCTATGCATAGAGTTTTGCCTATTTTTCGTTTAGACACTACCATTCAGTATGTGGATAGGTAAACGGAACATGACATAATTAAAACAATTAACACAACATAAACTTACCTGTCTCCGTAGAATGTGATCTCTAACAAATGACATCGTTAAACAGTTTACACTTTTAATTAGTTAATGTAAACTGCAAAAGTGCAATGTACATTTGTTAGAACGTGTCTTCGAAATTACTAATTAGGGCAATTTATAACCTAACTTTTAATTAATATTGATTTATATAATTCGGTATAGTTTTGGTTTCGGTATAATTATCGTGGTAATGACGCCAATAGAATTTATTATTTATTTATATACTTTTAAAATAAATAGTTATTAAATGACATAGGGCGACATCTACTTTATAATTTCGATGCAATAGTTAGGCACCCTTGAAATTTAAAGAATGCAACCCAACGTGCAAGGTTTCTTATCACTAGCCGCCCGAAAAAAATAGTCACCTAGCTTTGGTCACCCAACTTCACACACGTGTTGTGCATCGGAACGAAGACCGAATGAAATTTTGTGAACGCGAATTTTGAAGTGTACAAACCGAATTCGAGTACAAACCGCATATCCATGGATTTTGAAAGAAATAAACTAAACGAATAGAGTACAAACGGCGATTGAAAAGACGAAACAAATCGAAAAAGACGAAGAATGCGATAATAACGACCGACGGCTGGCGTCGATGGCGAAGGCTATGGACTGATTTCGTGTACAAAACGCACATTGGCTGCTTTGAAAACAAACGAACTACTCGAATAAAGGAGTGAAGGTGATGAGCAAATGTCGTAAAGGCGAAAAACGATGTAAAAGCGTTATAGGTCGGAATATATATTACGATAAATGTTTGAAAAAAAAAGTTAAACTGATAACGAAATGAGCGAGATAACAGGCCGCTGAGGAAATCGACCGATTGGCGAGCGGTAGAAGCGGTGATAACTGATAATGATAACGAAGTTTTCCATCTTGCGATCACGTCCTGTTCTAGTTGCTAGACACGTATTGGCTTATTACTTGTCGTCGTCGTGCGTGTGTGCCCACTAGCCGCCACTGCTCATCACTTCAGTTTTTTTTTGTTCACCTCTAACTTGTTGGCCTTGTTCCATCTCTTCAATAATGGTAAACATTACTCAGCTCATTCGGTGTATCCATTAAATGTTCCGTATCTACAACACGCAATTGGTAAGGAATTCATACGTCCATTAACCTGTCGTTACTGATAATGATGCTTACTGTAGGTATAATATTTACTTCCTTTTTTTATTTATTCCTACGCATCTAGTGTCTGCGTGACAAGCTATAAATCTATAAAGTGTATTTTTTCTTTGGTAACGTTAAGTTACATTCTCAAAAACCTTGCTCAGTGGATTAGTATTTGATTTACATTATTTATTTAAATTGTATTGAAACATTGTAATGATTTAAACAGTCACGTTTACACGGTGCTCCCTGGGTTAAACTTGTTAATTATTTATAATATTATATCTTAGCTATGGGTTCTTATACTCGCTCACTAGTTGCTGGTCTAGTTAACACTTATATGGGATATCATTTATTACATTTTAATCAAGTTATTGATCTATCTATGATCTATTGTATTATTATCATGCTGTTGATCCCTGAGTTTTAATATTAATACAAGCAGTAGAAGCTATACATTTATAATACTAGCATAACATTTTACTCTATTTATTGTTTAGTGTTATTAATATTATATCCACTTAGGTTTGCTCAACTGAGATTTATATAGGTAATATGTTGAAAAGAAAGATCACTAAAGTAATTCAAACAATGTTAAGTTAAACTAATAAACATATTTTTATGACCGTGAATAAGTTACAAGTCTAGTAAAGTACCTACTTTACCTATTCGAAAAATTTTTCAAATTCAAGTTTTTGTACAACATTATTTAGTTATGGCATAATTGAGTAAAACATGATTTGTTAAATAAAATAAAATAAAATATTATCCTTAATGACCTTTGCAATTTGATTGTTTGTATTTCTCTTAATGTAAATTTTTTTCTCCATATATATAATATTATTTCATTTTTATTTTATAAATACTTCTACACTTCTAACTCTAACTTTAATTGTTAGCTTAATGAATATTTATGTTATAATAATATGTTAATGAACAAGTAATAAAAAATAGTAATAAAATAATATTTTTTATTTTATTTTACTAAAACAAATGATATATAAATAAATAAAATGCATGGCTTTCAATGGCCACAAAACCGTATTTTTCTTTTACATAAAAATTATTTATTTAATAACTAAATTAGTAACACAAAGATATATAAACCAAACAGAACCCAAGGTTATTGATAAAGTGTCCAAAGCTTCAGGGTCTCCACCAAATATGTAAAGTAGTCAGGGGAATCTTGTAATGATGTTAGTTATCCAGAGAAGGTTTTCTATTCCATATGGATAAGTTTTCCGTAGCTGAGGGTTAGAGCACTGTTTATGAGGTATTTTATCAGTATTTGCTTACAGATATTGATCAATGAATTAACTTTAGAGAAGAAAATTGTTAATTATAATCAAAAAAATATTAGAAGAAGAAATTTTACAAAGAGTTACAATTGAAAACAAAAATCAAAGCATGATGGCCAATTTCCAATTTAAAGATGTAAAGTTAATGCTAAATATTATATTATACCTACATACTTTTTTGCATTAAACACTTATGTTCTTCATAGGGTCATATTGAACAACAACTCAATGCTCCAAGAACCTTAGATGAAGTTCGACGTTTAAATGAACAATACTATTTTAGATTATGTAATGATTTAGAAGCTCAAGCTGAAGCTAAAGCTGAAGCTCAAGCTATAGCTAAAGCTAAAGCTCAAGCTCAAGCTAAATCTAAAACAAATCGGAATAAGATCAAGGTATATCGAAGATTTCAGTTAAATCAGGTATATAAATACAGAAAATTAAATTGGTAATATCGATTAAAAGATATCCAGGCGCCCTTTTTAAAAACAAAATAATATACGTAGAATTGTTGAAATTGATTATACCACACTCAATGTATGCTTATTACAGTGTGTACATTAATAATCATTATTTCCCTTTGTAAATTTTATATTACCAGGTTTAACTAAGTGGTTTGACTAAGTTCTACCACAGATTATATAATATCAGATGGTGTACTTCTGAATTAACTGATAACTAAAACCTACCTCAATGCAATAGGATCACATGTGAAAAATAAATTATTGTACAACACCTTTACACTCAAATAATATGACAATGGTTAGGAATTTTGACGTGAGTGCTTAATATCAGTGATGCATAGTGAATAATCATTAATTTCTCATAAAAAAACTTTTTCTCTATGAGTGCTTTTACTGATTTAAGATAGATTTTGATTTGCTTACATTTTAGAGAATTCAAGAAGTAAAAAGTTATTGTCATCATTATCAAAACCTTCTAAATACTTTGCATTTGTAGAAATTAAAATGTTTAAAAGGCTTATAACACTCTTTATTATAGTGAAATGTTGATAACTCGAAGGAATATCTTAGCCCCTGTATTTCAATAAATACACACAATTTTTTCTATAACTCAAATTTTTTTCGCCCCCAACCGATTCGAGTTATAGAGGTTTCACTGTATATGTTTTTAAAAGTGCTTTTATAAAATTAAAATTGTTAAAACGGCATAATCCACATTATTTTTTTTAAACTAATATAACATTAAATATAAATTTAGGTAAGGTAATATAATAAGCAATTTTAATTCCAGAGTGTCTCATGTTTAATAATTTGTATACATGAATGTTTTTTCTTTAAAATTGAATATAATATATTAATCAATTTTTTTTGTTTCCTGAAAAAAATTGAATTTGGTACTTATACACACTTTAAACAAAACACTGTCATTATTCAGTATTTTAATAAAATTAACAGCCATAATAATTAATGAATATTAAACAAAAAATTAACATTTAGATTCAAAATTTGGAAAATGAATTGCAACACAAAAAGAGTACTCAGGATGCAATTCAAGAAGATGTAAATGTGGCCAATTTACCTATTACAAAATTAACAAAACTAAGAGATGATTTATTGTCCTCTTATAATAATTATTTGGTATATATACACTTATAAATTGTTGTTTGTATTATTAAATAATAAAAACATTTTTTTTTTTCAGAGGAAAATTAACGATTTAGAACAACTAAGAGTACTTCAAACACCTAACTATATATCTGAAATTCGTGCACTTGATCAACAATTAACAGCCATGCAAATTGATATTTCGAAGAAAGTACAAAAATATCAAGATTTAATAAGCATAGAAAATAGCACTTATCAAAAATTATTAGTGAGTGAACAAACAGTGTTAGATATTACTCCAAATCCGCCTGTAGTTTGCAGCCCAAGTGCAAAAAAAAGAAAATTGTTTGAAAGTGACGAAACAGAGAGTGAATTTTCTAATATTATCACTGTTTCATCAACTAGTGATATTGAAATTAGTGAAGTGTGTCCTGATGGACAGTTTGTAAAATTATATAACAAAGGATCAAAGGTAGGAATGAAATACTCAAATTCATGATTTAATTAAGATATAAAAAACAATAATTACTATTTAGGAATTGGCATTGAAAGGATATGAATTGGTACGCACTACTCCTGAGCAAAATGTTTCTACTGTATTCAAGTTTCATGGTTCGGTAAATCTTGGAGCTGGTAATTGGCTAACTGTATGGTCTTCTACTGCCAGTAATCAAATATATAAACATAGTGCTGGATCAATTATCATGGACATTCAAGATTGGGTTGTTGGTGATCTTATGGCTACAATACTTTTAAATCCTGAGGGACTAGTATGCAAATTTTAAATTAATTGCTTTAAATATTATTAATTTTATTAAATATAAATAAAAATAAACATCCTGTATTATATTTATTTTCAGGAAGTAGCAACTCATGAACTTAAAAAAAGGGCAGGTTTCTCTTTCACGATCCAATGAAGAATATTATAGTGATTATGAAACACAATTGCTCTGTCAATCAGTAAGTAGTATAAAATATTAAACCTACCTGGCAGCAGCATATATTTATACCCGGTGCATACTAGTCGCCTCCCAAAATATCCGAATTGCTTCCTATCCTTATTGTAAATATAAATATTAATATACACTAGGCACCTCCGATGATCTGGTAATTCATAATTATATATGAGTTGCCTCCCAAGAATGTATACACTAGTTTCCTCCCATATAGAATTAAGTAGTGGTTCATAAACATCACAATAATATACCATACAAATAAACACGTGTTTTAATTATAAAAATTAAGTTTAAAGTAAACATAATAATTTATGTTTAATAAATTAATATAACAAATATTATATTATTATAGATATATAGATATTTTTCTATTTGTCATTGTAGTTTTATTAAGTCTAGGAAGAACTTCATACTAAAATTATAATTATTTAGATTTATTAAAAAAATATCAGTCTTAGGTTTAATTATATATTATTTAAAGTTATACAAACATTAGGTACATAATCATATTAAAAGAATAGTATAATAATTAATAAATTACAAATATAGGCTAATTTAATATAATATAATATCTACAATTATAAAATATATTATATCATACAATTAATATATTATGGTTCAATCAAAATTATTATGTGGTTCACAAAATTGTATGTGTATTCATAATATACAGGGTGGTAAATTTAAGTGGTTACACTAGTTATTTCGAAAAGTATTAATTTTTTTCGATTTTTTTTTTCGAAACTTAGATTTATGCTTTTCTAAAACTGCATACTATTTTAATTTTTTGCACACTTATATTTATTGGTGAAATCACTATCAACTTTTGATTTTCAAATGGTAACATATAATAAAAAGATCATGAATTAATAAAACCATTTTATTTATGCATTTACAAGTTAACATTTTTATTTTTGTTGATTGGTTTGCGAGATACAGCTCCTCAAAGTATTGGTGGTTGAATGAGGTACAAATTTTCATTTGTAAAGCCCAGAAGCTGATAAATTCGATACAGTTCGACCTAAGGTGTGCCTAACAATTAACATTAAACATATTGATAATTGTTGTACCTTGTACCTGGTTAATGACCTATTAATTAAATGTCCTATTATACCTAAAGTTATACGCCTTCCCGTACCTATCGGATTCCTCCCCACTACACTACATTAAGTTTCAATGTTTTTCTTTGGTTCAGAATTCAGATCATAGTATCACACTCTCATAGATAAACAATAACAATAACCAGATCAGCTGATCTAGTATCTTTTCAACTTATTATCTATGGTTATATTATTATTATAATTATTCCATCATATCAATTATTATTCCACACATCAAATAAGCTCTTACGGCTTTCTCATTGGTATATACATTTGGCTCAAAAATTTAAATCTAAAATTTAAAATAATTGCTTACAATATATTTTAATTTTTAAATTTTTAAGACAATACATTTTTCAAATTAGAAACTGAGTAAACATGTATAAGTTGTGTTTGCTCACTGTTAGCAAAACCAACAATTAGTTTATTTTTCATTGTTACAACACTCATGATACCCTGATATAGACTGCTACATTCTACATAACTATTAAATTGTACAAAATACAAATATAACTGTACTATTTATGCTTAACAAGTAAGATTTAACTTATAATAATATGTATAAACAAATTATAACCCTGAATATTGTTTTCACATAGTATTGTGGCCTTCGGGATAACATATTAAATGCACAAGTAGTAAATCAAAATAATATAGTCAGAATTTGCCTAAATAAATTCACTCTAGAAGGATCTAAGCCAACTATAAAGAACTTGGTGTATTGCCAATAAGATTTTTGTATAAAAAAATTGCTATTATGTACTTGGTTAAGAAATTTAACTTAGATAAATATTATAAAGAGTTAAGCAATAAAAGAAAATTGATTAGATTTGATTTGACTGTTAAGAGGACGCCACACCCGCATGTGTTGTCTCCGTCTTACAAATGTACAACATAGCAAAAACTCTTTTGCGAGGGACAACTTTTCTCGCACCATATTTGTTGTAGAACTACCAAATTTTCACAGCACTTAAAGAAGAACTTTATCTGTGCAACAGCGTGCTCTTTTTTTCAATAACATATATACAATACAAGTTATTTGCTTCTAAACATTTGGTTTTTTAATTTGCTTATATAAAATGATTGGATGGTGCTATTGAAAAAAAGAGCACGCTGTTGCACAGATAAAGTTCTTCTTTAAGTGCTGTGAAAATTTGGTAGTTCTACAAAAAATATGGTGCGAGAAAAGTTGTCCCTCGCAAAAGAGTTTTTGCTATGTTGTACATTTGTAAGACGGAGACAACACATGCGGGTGTGGCGTCCTCTTAATTATACAAATAAATCTTTTGGTCAGTGTTTTGTAGATTATCTTGGACAAACTCAAAATTCTATGCCTTTTGAATTTAAAAAAAAAATACTTGGGGATGAAAGGATTAATATTAAAGGCTTGGTATATAAATATTTATTTCTTCAGTTAAATAATGAGTTGCTATAATTTTATTTTATGTCTCAGCTTTATAAATATTAATCTTTGAGGTTTTACTTGTGTATCTTAGGCTAATATATGTTTATTTTATATTTCATTCTTATCATGTACTTTTTCTTGATAATATTTCTAAACTATATTATAGTTTATATGTACTTAGAACTTATACTCTATGTCTTGTAAATTCTATAATTTTAATAATTGTATCATATATTATATAATAATTGTCTTTCTCCAACTTAGCTTAAAGGAGAAAGATAATCGAAAATGTTACTCAATAATAATATGTGTATTTGTGTCTTTTTCGATTAAAATAAATAAATAAAAAAAAAAAATTATAGTTTATGGCTTAAATGGAGAAGTATGTAATAAGTATTAACTATAATAATAAATATTTAAATAATAAAGAAGTTGAAATGCACTTGATCGACTTTGCTACTTCTACTATGAAAGAAATGCATAGGTGACTATAGCCAAACATTTATAAAATTTGATACAGCACCTGCTAGATAAACGCTCTTTAAAATTTTACCACAATTTAAAAGCCCAGGACTATTATAAATATATTCCAAATTAAATGATACATTTAGATCAAAATATTCGTTATGCAGTAATGCAAAATATGAGTTAGGATCAAAGCATGTATTAAAAAATTGAAATAAACTCAACCTAACCTTTAACTTAAAAAAATACAGTAAAATTAAAAAATGGGACTTATAATATTTTAACTTAGATTTTGTAGGTGGTAATAAATAGCTAACAACACCAATCAAACAGAAGGAACTATTCAGTTGCAAAACACTAATACAATATTATTTTAAATACAAATATTTTATGATACATAAATATTAGGATTAAGACATACCTACTAAATATTATAAATAAATATTTAAATATAATATTTAATAATACCATGTATAATAATGAAGATGAATAATTTATGATTTTTATAGATTTTTTTTAATTAATAAAAAAACATACATTTTACCACCCATTTAAGTATCAATGATTGATTTATGTTGTTAACTAAATTAACTGAATTGTAAATTTGTTAAAATTTAAAAAATAAACATTATCATGTACTATTTTCATTTAAGATGTTTTTAGTTTACTATATTATTGGGAACAGGTTTCTTCTGGAACGCAGATATTCAGAGTTTATTTTTAATCTTCTTTGAAATTAACTTGAGGAGTTGAGTATTTACTATCTAATAAATTAAAATAGCCAATAGGTGTCAGCCAATGATTTTAAGAGTAAAACAACTTTTGTGTTACCGTACTTTGAATAACATTTATTGGTGGTGTAACTGATTACTGAATGAACAAAACTGATTTAAGTTATTTAACTGAAAATAAAATTTAAATAAAATCTGTTAATACCTTATAATAACGTATGTATTTAAGAAAACCTATCAATAATCTTAATGTAGATACAAATGTTGTGCTTTCCAAGTGGTAGGTATTATCAAATTTTAATAATATAAACTTAAATACATACATTTTTGATTGAAATATCAAATAAAATACATAAATATATCACAAATTACAACTTAGGTATAATGTAATTTTAAGTTCAATAGAATATTTTTGACAAACTTAATGATTCAACAACTATTTTGTTAGATATATTATGCTAATAAAGAAATTTAAACTGTCTGTATACTTATAACGGTTTAAAACATAAACTAATTAGTTCAATTATTAATTACATTATAATATTTAACTATTTAAGTAATAGTGCTATGCTTTTTAAAGTTTATTATCAGTATTCAGTTTATTACAACCGATTGATTTTTCTTTACTATTATCATTAATTAATTGATATGATATAATATTTTAATCAATTCTATTAACTTATAAGACCGTGGTCATAGATAATGATAAAGGTATCTCCAAATATCGGTAATAGTAATTATTATTGTTCTATGGTAATATGGAGGGATCTGGTGTGACAGCCAAGGTCAACAAAACGTAGCGTTGGTCAAATTAGCATATAGGTGTAATAGTACTAATAGGACGTTCAATTAATCAGGTTCAAAGTACAACAATTATCAATATGTTTAATGTTAGGTACCTTAGGCAGTTATTTCGAACGGTATCGAATTTATCAGTTATAGCTTCTTTGCTTTACAATTAAAAATTTTTCATCGGTACCGACTATCACACCTCCTTCTACCACCAATACTTTAAGGAGATATATCTCGCAAACTAATTAACAAAAAATAAAAATGTTGATGCGTAAATTCATAAAAAAAAATGGTTTTATTAATTCATGATTTTTTTATTATATGTTACCATTTGAAAACCAAAAGTTGATAGTTGTTTCACCAATAAATATAAGGGTGAAAAAAATTAAAATAGTATACAGTTTTAGAAAAGCATAAATCTAACAGTTTTAAAAAAAAAGGAAATAAAAAAAAAGTTAATACTTTTCA